TTAGCTAGTAATGAAATATGATAAAAAAATATTTATTTTATTTATTTATTTCGAATTAGGCACACCAACAGTATACATATTATACATAAATTAAATAACATTTTTTGTGTAGCATGCTGATATGCATACCTATAACAGGCGTACACAACATTGAGTACAGATTACATGCATATAAATGTCATGATATAATTATATAATAGAATTTACAAATGATAGACAAGTAAAATGACACACCTGAACGTGAAACTTTATTTTCGATCGCGTAATGGACTTTTTTCAATCCGTCATTGTTCTTTTGTCAAAAATACAGTATTTTTTAGTTTTTTTAGGTCTCATGAATGAATGACGGGTCATTTTGAAGCAAGGGATTAAAGAATGAATTCAAAGTCAATGTATAGATATTATATAAAAAGCATGGAAATGCCGTATTAGAAACAAAGCGACGTCAAACGTACTAGAAGTTGTCTAGAAAGTAAAGCAAAGGAAAACTATTTTATTTAACTAATTGAATAGTGCATAATCTGTAAACGAATAGGTCTCTGATCTGAAACGTGTAATTAGGATTGTACTCGAATCGAATCAAGATAATCGAGAGATGAAAAAATAAATACGAATTGATGAAACAAAAACGAAATAACTAATCTTTTTTTTTATACAACTTAGAATGGCAAACAAGCTGAGGGTCCACCTAATGGAAAGTGGTAACCGTCGCTTATAGACATAAGCTTTACTATGGACATAACAGAGTATACTGTTTCACCTATGATATATGTACCTATGATACTGTTTCACCATGCGTTGCCATTCCTGAGGACTCAGGTGTTATTCCTCTGTACCCAGTAAATTCACGCCATATCCCACCCTTTAAACCAAAACACAGCCATGTAAACACAACTACTTTACGTATAATCATCGTGATTGCTAGGCCCCTATCGTCCACAATTATTTGCTCAAGTTTTAAAATAATCGACTATTAGATAGTATTTATTTTCTTAAATTTTGTTGATTTGGACACATGTTAAAGCTTTAAAGTGATAAACGCGCTTCGCTCATAACTTAAGACGTACGATCGGACTTTCTCAAGCACGCTGATGTGAGCGAACAGATTTGTTGCATGATTAGTAATATAATGTCGGTATTATATTGCATGGTGTGGGAAAAACAGCTTATTTGTTCCAATAAATAACTTTTCGGGTCACGGTCTTGATCCATACATTTTATGGGAACATCGATATTTTAGATCTTTAAAAGATAAAATCGATAATTTCAAGTTTCAACATTATTGTTTTTTATGCTGAGTGCCACATAATCACATCAATTACCTGGTCCTATAGCTAGAGTACGCGGAGTTATGGGAAATCTGGCTATAAGTATCTAGAGGCACAACTTAAAACATCCAGACTCGGGCCAACACTAGTGTCCTAATTGGCCCAACCGAAAATCGAACCCGGAACCTCATTTGCGCAAAACAAAGTGTCCACCAGTGAATTGCGGAAGTCGTCTATACATGTTTTATGTAAAATGGAATGAACAGCAATGTGATAATTGAATAAATAATATAAAATTAAATACACCACGAATGCCACAGAATAAGTTTTTTCTAAGATGATAACGCAGTTGTAACCCTCTTGCGCAATCGGTATACGTTGGCGGAACAAGGAATGATAGCTGAGGGTAAAAGCAGGTCTGTAGACCAATCATGATTAATTCTCGTTGAATAAACAATGTATTAGGAAATTGTTAGTACTCGAACATTGATCTCCATTGCTAGCATCAAGGGGTCTACCGTGAAATGAAATTCCGAATTTTCGGACTCAATTTCGTGTTACCTTGTAACATTTTGTTCATAATAAATCCTAACATAAATATCCAGAGGAGCAATCCTTAAACTTTTTTTAAACTGTATATATTATATATTTTCAACATCAAATTTATGTTTCGTTCAAGCCAGAAATTTCGGAAAACATTTCATAGTATACCCTCTAACGTACTCATTATTTTATGCTCCACTGGTGGTCCGCCATTGTACACCGTTATCGTAGGCGGGAAAAATGAAAATGGAATGGTGCAATTCCGTTTTCATACATTAAAAAAGTACTGGCACACAGGTGAATGACACTAAGTGAATCGTATTACGTCACTCCGCTAATATTGCAGAGATTTTAAGCCAGTCACACGATGTTCCGCCGTCTCATGGGCCATGGTATCGTGGCGTCTGTTCATGACATTGATGTTAGACACAAATGAGTGCTTGCAAATCATTATGATAATCGTTAGCTAAACTAAAGTATCGTGGCATACGAAATAAGTAGAAATGCAGTTAAACGTTGTTTCCGTTGATTTATGATAATTTATGATTGTCTCAAATTGAAGATACGTGATCCGTGTACCTGTCTAGCTTTATAAATGTAGGTACGTAGTTTGGGTAACATGATTACATTATACTAGTCATATTTACCAGAGGAAGAGTTTACCCCTGTCCCATTCGTGTTTCAACCGTGAAGCAGTTGTGTTTGCATGGCTGTGTTTCGGTTTGAAGGGTGGGATATGGCGTGAATTTACTGGGTACAGAGGAATAACACCTGAGTTTTCAGGAATGGCAACGCATGGGGGGTATCATGGGCGAAACAGTATACTCTATTATACCATGGTACTGCTCATGTTTATAGGTGACGGTTACCACTTTCCATCAGGTGGGACGTCAGTTTGTTTGCCATTATAAGTTGTATATAAAAAAAAACCATTTTCATTAAAAAAAATCCGCCATTTCAAGAAGTAAGACTCCCTTTTTGATGTTGGTTGAACATTTATCTATAAAAATTAATTTGTATTATTTATTAACTTATATACATATTTATACATAATAATAATTAGGTATGTATATAAATGCGCAGATGAATTGTAAGTAATAGAACCCATGTTTAATATTTTTTAAATGAACTAATTCTTTATGACCTTTAAAGATTTTAAATTAATATCTTTATGATATATTGATCTTACAATACTACCTATTGATCATTAAGAATCTTAATGATCAATAGGTAGTATTGAGCGGGAAGGCAGGCCGACTTCCACGTGGTCCCCCATGCAACATGAATACATCTGGAATTCAGCACGATGGGATAACTGACCTGCCCTTTCATTCTCACCTATCATCCCTCACTGGTGGCCCGCCAGCGTATCCCATTAACGCAGGCGGGATTACCATTCCATTATCATCCATAAAAAAAAAGCAGTATTTAAATATTTTAATGGCAACTATGTCTACTATAAGTATTTTAATAAAAGCATCGCATGTTACAGTCAATTTGTTAATCGTAGATACATCAATTATTTATATTCTATTGAAAGTTGTAAATAAACTGTAAGGTCATCTATTGAAATTATGGAAATTATAGTCAGCACTATGTGTGCTATAAAAACTCACTTCACCATCGCTATTATTTGTAGTGCCACATAAAATACCCTATCATCTGTTAACTGTCCATTGCTGAACATAGACCTCTCCTATTGGGAGGGTATTGCCAGTAGTTGCCACGCTTGGCACGCATATTGGCAATGGAAATTAGGCTTTAGTGATGTATTAAGAAGGAAGCTGCTGTCCATCTCTTAAACGTTTAGTTTTTGGTACGTTCGGTATAAATTGACCGTATTTTTTTTTATTATGAATGTTTCAAAATAAAGCGAATTGAAAACTGGCAAGAAAGAATAATATTTAGTTGGCGCATAGTGGCAACATTTATAAACATTTCTCTAAAAGAAACGATAATTTACATCCAAATTTTTAGGCAGTTTCTTCCACGCATAACCACTCTTTGAATCATTTCTAGCAGCAGTATTTCCGAACCAATATGACTTTATAACCTTCAGGAAAAGAGCATATTCCTTTTTAAAAGGCCAGCAGCACAATCGCAATGCCTTTGGTGTTATGGGTGATCATGGACGGCGGTAGTCACTTACCATCAGGTGAGCCGCATGTTCGTTTATCCCCAGTGTTATAATATATATATATATATATATATATATATATATATATATATGCGATACAAATAATCACCATACTCGCTACGTGTCTAGACTATCCGCTTGAAAAACTTCATCGCAAAAAAATTAATACGTATGCTCTGGTGTGTCGAAATTAAAAAAAAAATATATAGTAATAATTAACGTAATATGTACAGAGAGAGTAATTAATATTTTGAAACAACATAATAAACAAGTAGTTAGCATTTAATAACACCAGCAATGCACATTGCGAATATGTATTTCATACATAATAAAATTTCATTGTAATTGTGTAGTCCAAAAAATGTGGATGAAATGTAAATAGTTTATGATTGCAATAGATACAATACCACTCAACTGATTAGATGCAGTGATGTAATGTTACGTCACTAGTTCCCATGGTATTATACCATGTCATCGGTTAACCGCCGAGTTATTTATTGGTTCACAATTATGCATGGGGCTCATTGCAACAGCTAAATGACTATCGGAACGAAAACTAATATTTCCAGATGAAAAAGTTTGCGAATGGACTTCTTTGCAAAACTCTATGGGTCAGATCTGCTCCATAGAGCATGGCGAAAGTAGTTTATTATGTCGTCATTCCACAAAAATCGATTTATAATTATTGTGCCCATCGTTTCCCAGTAGTCCTTCCTTCACGGTCGCTCTATTTAGTAATTTTTTTTCATAGTTATTAGTTTAAGAAAATTTGTTTCGATCCCATGGTTAACATAAAAAGTCTTCCGATATAAAAAAAATAATAATAAGGCACTTTAATACTGGCCTATTGATATATCTATGCTCTTAGAATTTGTCCTTTGTATTTAAATTGGTCTGTCAAAAAGTCTTTAAAGAATATCATTAAAATTGGTTCAGATTTTACAAAAATTTTACCATATATGTACTTATAGAAAAACAGTCCAATGGAAAAATTCCCTTTTTTACAGTAAAGTAAAATAAACACATGTTAATATTGATTTCTTTCTTTGCAGATTATATGGAGTTGCCTGACAATATTAGCTGTTTCATTGACGTGCGTTAGCGGCCACGGGCGACTGATTGAACCGCCATCGAGGGCATCAGCATGGCGTTATGGTTTCGACACCCCACACAACTACAATGATCACGAACTCTACTGCGGTGGATTCTCCAGACAATGGAATAAGAATGACGGCAAGTGTGGAGTCTGTGGCGATGCTTGGGACGCACCGAGTCCACGCCCGCACGAATTCGGAGGAAGGTTTTACAAAGGTGTCATCGTCCGCAAATATGCCCCAAAAGACACCGTCACAATCAAAGTCGAATTGACGGCCAATCACAACGGTTACTTCGAGTTCAGAGTCTGCGACGAATACAAAGGCACAACTCAGGAATGTTTGGACAAGAACGTTTTAAAAATCGATGGAAAGGACGGTACAAAATTCTATCCCAAAGACGGAAACAGAGTTTACGAAATGAAGTACAGATTGCCTGAAGATCTAGAATGCTCGCATTGCGTTATGCAATGGCGATACATCGCTGGAAACAACTGGGGAAGCTGCGAGAACGGAACAGAAGCTGTGGGCTGTGGACCGCAAGAAGAATTCAGAGCGTGTGCAGATATCGCGATAGGCGAGAAATTCGCGACCACCACAAGAAGGCCGAGACCTTCGTACGTGCCTCCAAGCAGGAAACCGCCGACTGTACCAACGCCGGAAGAAACCTCGGGAACCGCTTGGTACGGAGTTATGGTTGCGATTGCTGCCCTGTTCATCGCGGTGGCCGTGCTCGCTGGCATTTACCTGTACTATTATCGCGGTGGCATGAGAATAAAGAACCTTTTGAAGTCAAAGGTCCCACCTCCTGCACCAGTTCCACCTCCGAGACATAAAAGAGCCTCGCTTTCTAGATCACAACCGCCCGAATTAAGGCCGTCGAAAGTAGCCACTATCCCCGATTCAGGATTCGAAACTGTTGACTTGAGGTCTAAGTAGGCTAAATGAGGCTTAGGTTAAGTTGACTGTAACAACCTACCACTGCCTTTAGTGATATTTTTACAAGTAGATATAAGTAGGTAGGTACGTCTGAGAGTGGATGATGTAATTAATATGAATGTGAGATTGATATCAATGGAGAATTCATTGGTTTTTACTTGAATTTTATTTAAAAACTTAAATAAAAACATCTGTAAATTAATATTATTTATGTTAATAAATTGTAATGTTATTTTTTACTTATTATTTGCCACTCCCTACTTATGTAAAACAATATAATTAAGACCATGAGGCCCATAAATGTGGTATAAATTACATAATTCTTGCTATTCAAAAGATGTGATGAGACTAATTTATTCGGCGTACTATGTGCAGACATTACGCATATTGGTCACCTTTCACCTAGTTTGAATTTTATAGTTTCTTTTTTTTTTTTTGAATGGTAAACAAACTGACCGTCTACCAAAATGTTGAAACTTAAAAAATTAGTCCAAGATATCTTTCAGTAACTGTATACCTAGATATGAAAGTACCATGCACCACGGTATTCCTGACGAATGAGGTGTTATGTTAGAACCTCTCAGCGACTGCAATTTACCAAAGGCAAATTTTGTACAAGTCGTTTGCTTGGGCACCTCTGTCCCATTCGTATTTCTATAGTGAAGCAGTTGTGTTTGCAAAGCTGTGTTTCGGTTTGAAAGGTGGGATATGGCAGTGAATTTACAGGGTACAGAGGAATAACACCTGAGTCCTCAGAAATAGCAACGCATAGGGGGTATCATGGGCGAAACAGTATACTCTGTTATGTCTATGGTACTGCTCATGTGTATAGACTACAGTTACCACTTTCCATCAGGTGAGCCGTCAGCTTGTTCGCCATTATAAGTTACATAAAAAAAATCTTGACAAAAAGCTTTGAGAGTGGTAAGGATAGGCCGACAAAAGTGTAGCTCTTCAATATTTTATAATTAATACCTATCAGTCTCTTCGAATTGAAAACAGACAGTAGCAACGTTACTACAGCTTTGCGGCAGAAATATGCGTGAAAATGATTTTTACATAAAAACATAGATTAATAAGGACAAAAATATTTGAGCCATTCATGAACAAATTTTTTTTTATTATTATTATTATTTAAAGGGCTTTTACCTTCTTCAGGTATATCAGTCCTATCGTACCCTGAACTGATTTCTCAAACAAAACTTTATCTACTTTCCCTAAAGGCGGAAAGAGAAGAATTAATGGGCATAAATAATTTACAGAAATGTTCAAAATTTTCTGGTTTAAGTTCAGCTAACATAGATTGAATAAGACCAACATTCAATTTATTTAAGTTAAAGTGGCGCATGAATTCTTCTCTTTCCTTCGTGTTAATACGACACTCTAATAGAATATGATACACATCATCGATGGTATTACAAGTTTGACAATGGGGTGACAAGGACTTTCCCACCATATGTGCAAAATTTTTTGATGGATAATGAATTAAATTGATAAAAAATATTATTTAGTTATTTACACATATTTTAAATACACAATCAGGACTTAACGTGATGAAAAACTTTTTTTATCATATTAAGTCCCGATTGTGTATTTAAAATATTTTTAGTCCAAGGGTGCTCAAATTTGAATTGCTGGCGATGTACCTCAATATTGTTAGACATCGACTCTGACAGGCTGCAAATCTATGTGATGCAGGATTGTTACCTAGGTAAGGTGCATAAAAATAAGTTTTCTATAGAAAACCGTTTTTGTTTCCAGTTATTACTGTTATCCCATTAGTTATAATGCACACTAGTTCATATTTTAGTAAATTGTAGTTTTGTTATAAAATTGAAGAGGAAACGTCATATATATCTTTGCCATAGGCCTTTCCTTTTAAAGGAATCATTGTCAAAAACTCTTCCTTTGCCGACATGTCACTGATTACCATTCAAATAAAAATACACAGCTGGGCAATATTATTCATATCGGCGGATGCGTTAAACTGTAAACAAATACATTCCATGATATCATGTTTTAGTTTATTTGCCTTGTCCTGACTCCCGACTTCAACACACAATGTGACAGACGGACGAGAAAACAGAAGTTCTGTAATAGCAGACATAATCTCTATTTTATTTTTAAAATCTCCAAATAAAGTCTCTCTTGCTTCAATTCAATAACTGCTTCCTTGACAACCGATCCGTCTTCAAATAGTTTCTTATGTTTCGCCAATATACGAAATATTTTAAATGACACGATCAATGCAGCTTTTGTTTGTTTGGCTGATCTTGTGAATATGGTTTATTTAATTTTTCAAAAAATAATTTACTTTGTGTTTTACGAACTATTTTAAGATGCTTCTCTAAGTTACCATGCCTAGGTTTTACAACTGATGTACGGTAAATGAGACAAATTCACTTATCCTTTACCATACAAAAGTCATCCTCCCAATTGTTATTAAAATTATATGTTTTACTTCACCAGAGAGAGATTTTGTACAAAAATCGTTTGCTTGGGTACTCGTGTTTCTACCGTGAAGCAGTTGTGTTTGCATGGATGTGTTTCGGTTTGAAGAGGGGGTATGGCAATGAATTTACAGGGTACAAAGGAATAACACCTGAGTCCTCGGGAATGGCAATGCATGGGAGGTATCATGGACGAAACAGTATACTCTGTTATGTCCATGATACTGCTCATGTCTATAAACGAAGGTTAACACTTTCCATTAAGTGGGCCATCAGCTTGTTTGCCATTCTAAGTTGCATAAACTCATTTTGTACTATTTATTAGTAAACTTTGTGTCGACTCCTATTCCTGCAAGCACAATATTTATATCGGCGTGAACGAAGTCTTGAATTTTTCCGCCTGTTAGAGGGAAAATCTCCCAAAGTTTTTAGAGAAATTGACGCAATAAGAAAACGTGGTTTTTCTTTAATAAATACCTCGTGTTCCTTTGATAAAGCTGCCTTTTGGTATTATTACAATAAAAAAATTTATGAGAGACTTAATTAAAGTATCTCGATACAAAAGCTTCTAGAAAAGCGGGTCAACTTTTTCATACAATCTTGTGTGATAAATAATTATGAGTATTTACTTTATAATTTCTATGTTTATTTTGTTCTATTTTTGCGTCTTTTTAATTCATAAAGACTCATTTTATTTATTAAATAATCAACGATATATACATTATGTGCATAAGTATATAGAACACTGAAAAAACGAGTTAGCTAATTTGACAATTTGTTAACAAAAAGTTGACCTGTTTTTGCAACTTGATGCTCTATATAATCTAAAATGGAGGTTATTCTGGTCTAATTGTGATTCGTATAAATTTTAATTGTTTATTCATTACATTTATGAAAGAGACTTATGTCCAGCAGTGGACGGATAAAGGCTAAAATGATGATGATTCGTTACATTTCGTTTTAGCTACCTATCTACTAATAAAAAATCTATGAATAAATTTTTTGTTCAAATTCTACTCAAAAAGCAATCAACGATCGATCGTATAAGCATCTTTAGAGTATTATATTTTTAACTATGACCGATAGACTAAGAATGAGAATAGATATTCTTATTTATACGGTCTTAATTAATATTTAATTTCATTCTAGCAACACTACAAAGTATGATGTCAATGTCATTGTCAATTTTCTACAGCTAAAATTTGACCAAAGACAAAAATCGCAAAACAAACGTGCTGTGAAAAAGCTTAAAAAGTCTCAAAAACGTGTACTACTCAAAGAAAAAGTCCAATTTATAAATGAAAAATGGCGGTGCGGCCACTGCACATGCACGATGGCGGTATTGTGGAGCGTCGGCTACGGCCTATTTACGGTAAAAACTTTTAGTCAGAGTTTTCTATTTTTTGAAACAACCTCCCCGGAGGTGCACTATTCTCACCGAAAATAAGGGAACTTCGTTATTTTTCAGACTGGTTGGATAATGGAAACAATAAGAAAGCGCTCCAGGAAGCTGAAAAAGTACTAAAAAAGAGTCCAACGTTGCAAGCGGCTCGGGCATTGAGAGCCCTAGCGCTTTTTAGGTTAGGTAAGGGGCCGGAGGCGTTTGCTGTGCTCGATGCACTGGCTGAAGAGAAGCCTAGCGATGACACCACGCTGCAAGCGATGACTATAACGTATCGAGAGTCCCAGCAATGTAAGTTCAAATGACATTTGTTGGTTATCTGTGAATTATAATAATTTTATTAAACACTAACTCCACCCGCGACTTCATTTTACAGAGTAGGAGGATAATGCCAATTTACCCCCTTTGAGAAACTTTAGGTTATATGTTGATATTTGATTAATATATGACTCATATTTTCAAAATTAGTATATAATGTAGTGAAAAATGATGATTATAAAGGGTAGAGGAGACTCCCTTTGTGCTCTTAAATGACTACAATCGCCAATCTTATACATAGTTTACATCCTTCATTTCAAATATATATATATCTATGTTTATTATATATTTTCATCATGATTATATATTTATATAATACATGTTTATTAGTTAGAAAACATATTTACTATGTCCACAGATCTGAACGTAAGATATGGATAAAGCTGATCATATTATAATATATAGTTAACTAAAAATCTATGGAAATGCATTGTAAATATGTTTTAACTATATAAGATATTATAGATTATAGATATATATTATTAACATCTGAAAATGATGGTATAAGGCAGGAGGTAGCACAAAAGATCTCTATAGGTCGACATGCAAAGGCTTAGCTGACCCCATATGTAAAAAATAAGATAAGACAACATCTGAAAAACAAATTACAATAATTAATTGCAAGAATTTTTCAATTTATAATTACAACTTTTTAAATACTGTAACTATTGAAATATGTTTTTTTGTATTTTATTTGAATTTTTTTCTTTACTCATTCCAACAGTTCACAAAGTGTGTGCTCTGTACGAAGCCGCAGTGAAAGTGGAGCCAACGAGCGAGGAGCTGTACTCCCACCTGTTCATGTCATATGTCAGGGTCGGAGACCATCGGTCGCAGCAACGAGCAGCCATGGCCCTATACAAGTTTGCACCAAAGAACCCATACTATTTCTGGGCAGTTATGAGTATTGTGCTTCAGGTATATAACCTTTAAGGTGTTTTTTATCTTACATTTTGAAATTATAGAAAACTTAGCAAATTTATGATGCTCTTTAGATATGTGTTTTCTTTTTATTCCTGCTTAATTTATTTAAATAACAAGATTTTTATTAAATTTAAAAATTTATAATTTATAAAGTGTTGTGTGCATCTGTAATTGGTGTAAATGCAAGACAATCCCTGTATATCAATTAAAATTAATGTCTGTATTTACACTGTTGATGTATTTTTAATATAAATAAATAAATAAAACTTAAAAGCTGTTTAAGTGTGATTTATTAAGAAGATTGAAATATCTTTAATATTTATAATATTAGTTAATTTAATTTTTGTAATTATGGTACAATATTGAATGATTAAAATTTATATATCAAGAATTTCAACAGGCTAAATCGGCAGATGATACTGCAAAGAAAGGCATACTGCTTTCCCTAGCTCAAAGGATGGTAGACAACTTTATAACAGATAAAAAAATGGAAGCTGAACAGGAAGCCCGACTATATATTATGATTCTAGAGCTCCAAGAAAAATGGGAGGATATTCTGAAGTTCGTCCAGAGTCCTCTGTATGGACAACTAGTGCCAGGATCTACTGCCCAGGCTTGTATACCGTACTTGAAGAAGTTAGGACACTGGCGTAAGCTTAATTTACTCTGCAAGGAGTTGTTATGGGATAATCAAGACCGCTGGGATTATTATTTACCATACTTTGACTCTGTCTTCCATTTAATGAAAGAGCCTACCTCCGATAGTGAAAGCACAGCTGATGATACAGCAGAGAAGTGCCACGAATTCATATGCCAGTTGGTGGAGAGTATCTCATCAGGAAGGAGATTACGAGGGCCGTATCTCGCTAGATTGGAGTTGTGGAAACGGTTATCGGTTGACGGGGACCCGACAGCGTTGCTAGGCAGCGGGATGGCATTATGTGTGCAATATTTAAGAGTATTTGCCAATAAGCCATGTGCTGTGCCCGACTTGAGACCATATATAGCAATGATACCACAACAAGAGAGGGAGGAACACAGCAGGGACTTCCTCACGTGTTTGGGATTTGATGAAAACAGTGAACCGGAAACGGTGAGTTATTTGTATTTCTTCACTAACTTTTGTCCGCGACTTTATTTGCGTAACCGAGATATATCGAGATAAAAAGTCTATATCCTTTTCCATCACATATAGTACATGTTTACCAAATTTCATAGTGATTGGTTAAGTTACAAAGTTTTAAACAAACAAACTTAATTTCGTATTTATAATATTAGCAAGGATAATAAAGATTAAGAAAATAAAGCATTTAAAATTATGTATATATTCTTTATTGCACTTAAATTAAATTATTACTTAATTAATTAATCATTTATTAAAATTATTTAATACTTTTAAATAAATTTTGTTTTATTGAGTATGAATTAAGAAAACAAACACCTAAAGCCGCAGAGTTAAAGCGATTGAGCATTAAAAAGGCCTGTAATTTCCCTTTCTGCTCAGAGATTTTATTCAAGTTGTTTACCGTGATCTATCCTTATAATCTTCGTGAATTAATTACCAAGCCCGTAATTCATAATCCGTAAGTAATTTCGACCAATTCATTGTTTTTTCAAAATTTTACGATAATAAAGTAATTGGGTGTCATATAGTATAAATCGTTATTGATATTTTGGACAAAGGTATACTCGTATTATCAATAAATAAACAATACTATAAATATTTTTGTGTTTATTTTCACATTCGTCAACATAAGGGCTGTGTCGACTCTTAAAAAATGTCAAATTACTCTGTCTTGGGAACTTGTTAAAAATTTCCTTTTTAAATGTGAAATTTAAAAATGGAATACAGACGGACGACATCCAGCGGCACGTGTCGTGCATCGGCGCGTGGCGGCTGTCGGCGGCGCCGCTGGACGCGGCGGCGTGCGTGCGGCTGGCGGACACGCTGCGCCGCCACTACGTGCGCGCCGTGCAGCGCGGCCTGCTCACCGCCACCGCCACCGAGCTCTGCGCCACCGACCTCTACGGGATACTCGCCGCGCACCACTACTTCTACGCAGGTCATTCACATTTATACTCGCCAGCAGAGATTCCTAAACTTTTAAGATAACGGAACGCCCACCAAATACTTTTTATTTTATGAAACCCCATATCAAATGATTGTAAATAAAAAACATTAATTTAAATAATAACAAAAACTTTTATTAGAAATATTTTAAAAATATAACACTTAATATTTTCCTTTAATTTTTTATGTGTAGAATGAAATTGTTTCATTGTATAAATAATTTCGCGGAACCCTGGTGACTCGAGTGAAGAGAAGAGAAACTGAGAAATCTGCTCTAGAGAACTAAGACATATTTGTTGCAGTCCTAAAGTAACATATTTTAAAACGACTTACATTTTTAATATTTCGCGTTACGATTGTAGTCCTTGTTTTTCTGACCAGTAATAAATTATATGAAATACAATACGAAAAATTATATGATAACTATAATATAATTAAAAATTCTCTTTTCACTATCATACAAAAAAAGATTTGTGTCAATTGGTGAGCAATATCTTTCAATTCATCTCTTATTTAATGATAATTCTCAGTCGTATATAAATATTTCAATGATAATTATAACTTACAAAACTAACTACATAAGATTCGGCTACTTTGACATTCTTGCTGCCCAAACAAGTGTGAAACGAATCTATTTATGCGTTCTTTTCTGTTAACGTATGCGTGACAAAGAGTAGGAGGTCCAATATTGCTATCTCGTTCTCTCTCATATAGGCACATTTGATAATGTATCTTACTTTAAATTAATAATAATGGAATAACCTCGCCTGCGCTATCGATATACGCTGGCGGGACACCACTGAGGGGTGATAGCTAAGGATGGAATTAGGTCAGTTGGCTCATGGTGACCAATTTGTCAATAAATCTTTTACGATTGATTCCAAGGAGAGCCGTGTGGAAGTCGACCTGATAGAGTATATTGCTAGCAATGTGTTGCTAATCTCTATTACTATAAATCCCTATTTTCTCCATTTATAATGTTTCTATGTATAAACTTTTTAACCGACCCGCTAAACCATATTTTGCCACCTACCAATTCTATTTTTTCTTAAGATTAAAGCTCTCCTATTTTTATCTGTCTATTGTTTGCTCCAACTTAAGTGTTGCAGCAAAGAATAGATATTTGCAAATTTCATTAAAATCAGTAGAACGATTTTTTAATGGATGATAATGGAATGGCAACCCCGCCTGTACTAACGGTATGCACTAGCGGGGCACCAGTGAGGTATTATAACAGGTGAGAATGAAAAGGCAGGTCAATATGCCCATCGTTATAAATACACCTGGGATTCAGCATGATGGTTCCCAGAGAGGACCATGTGGATATCGATCAGACATGGTATATTGCTAGCAATGGCACCGGTAGTCTGCATTACTAATAATCCCCTCCCTCTCAATAGAACGGTTACAAAAATTATTGCCATTTTTCAAAAGGAGGCAAGGGCTACTTTTGTATTATATTTTTTTATGGGACACTTAATTTATATAAATTGTCTCTGCAGCGATGCGGCAGCAGAGTTCTGCACCGGTGATGGAGGCGGTGTGCCTCCTGGAATTGGTGCTGCACAACTCGCCGGCCAATTTCCACGCCAAGCTGTTGCTGGTCAAACTGTACCACTTCCTCGGTAAGTTTATATTTTTTTAACTATTTCATGTGTATAGACATACAGAGTTTTGTAGAAGGGTGTATACCAACTTAAAACCTAGTGATAGTATTCCTAAAAGGAAATATCTATGTCACGTCACGTGGGCGAGCAGTTCTATTTTCAACAATAAAAAATTTTGACATATAATTTTTTTTTTTTATTCTTTAAGTATATTCTTTTGTTAATGGATCCGCGTGTCATAGATAAACGTATAACATTGAGCGCACGTAGTCGATGAACTCACGAATGTTTTGTACAGAAGACAAAAACCAGTCCATCAAGTTTTTTTTTTTAATGGGTGATAATGGAATGGTAACCCCGCCTGCGCTGTCGGTATACGCTGGCGGAGCACCAGTGAAGAATGATAGGTGAGGATAAAGCAGGTCAGTTGGCCTATCGTGACGAAGTAGAAGTGTCCAGTACATAATAAACTTCGCATAACACTAGTCTTCTCATTAAATAAATAAATAAATTATATTTGTACAAATTTTAGAATGGTAAATCTGTTTGCGTTGTCGATATATGCTGCGGGGGGAGGGGGGGGGGGCACTAGTTAGTGATGATGGGTCAGGTCAGTCAAGCGTTTTGACAAATTTTATAAGAACTAAGATAGTTTGGATGGGGAATTGTATTGTAAAATGTTTATTGTACATAATTTACATTGAAAACATTAAAAGATTAAATATACAATGGCGGACTTATCCCATAGGGGAAAGCGCGAGAAGGTCGGCTTGATAGGATTCATTAGTAACAATGGGGCTACTAATCCCCATTTTTAACAATCCATTATTCCCCTTTATGAGACTGTTTTTTTTTTTTTAAATGGGTGATAATGAAATAGTGACCCCGCCTGCGCTAACGGTATACGCTGGCGGGGCACCGATGGGAGATGATGGATGAGAATGAAAAAGCAGGTCAGTCAGCCCATTGTGAAGAATTCCATGAGAAGAAACCACGATGGTTTCCAGGGGGATCCGCGTGGAGGTCGACCCGACAGGGTATATTAGCATTTATCAAAAATCCACCCTCTCCAAGCATTAGACTGGTGGTCACCTGTGTGGTATATAAATAATGCGCAGGCAACGCGGCGAGCGCGGACAGCGCGTACGCGCGGCTGGAGACCAAGCACGTGCAGCTGGTGTCGCTGGGCTGGCTGCACGCCGCGCGCCTGCCGCCCGCCGCCGCGCCGGCGCGCGCGCTGCGGCTGCTGGCCGACACCGCCGCCTTCCACGCGCACCACGCCAAGGACGTGCGTGCCACACACCCTGCTCTTACATTATTTATTTCAACTTTAATACTCAGTAAAATTCTATGTACATTTGGCGAACTTAACACCTGATGGTGTTCTCTACCAGTCAACCGTTGGGCAAACCGAGAAATAAATAGGCGGTGCGTTACAACATTAAAAACACATGTAATTGACTAAGTGTTTAAGACTGCTTTGCATCCCATATTACTTATTACAATTAATGTGTATAGCAAGTGTAAGCATGAAATGTTACTTTTCTCAAACAAGCTTGGAAATGTGAGCATTATTTTGACAATCTCTTAAAGATAAATCAAAATTGCCGTCCTGGCCAGATACATGTGGGCAGCGGCCGGCAAAAGTTTCAATGAAAATCCATATCTGTCGTGTTTTGCGGCCAGATAAATTACTATGTAAACTCATATCTGTCCTGTAATTTAAAAATGGAATGACCTTTTACTTCGAAACATGGCTACCAAGGAGGTAACTAATAAAAGGTTTTATTTAAATTTCTAACTGGCTTGCAAATAGAAAGCTGTTTACTGAAAAAAAGAAAGCAACATTGTGGCGCGTGAAACATTATTATTGTTCGTTATTCGTCATTGAACTTAAAAAGTAAAATTGTGTTTTTGTATTCCGCGCATTGTTTGAGAAAAGTACTATACAAGCCTTGGCCACAACTAGGCATTGATGGACTCACGTATGTTTGCCTCGGCTACGCCTCAGCCCACATTTGCACGTTCGTCCATCAATGCCTCAGTTGCTGGCCGCTGCAGTAATGTACTATTTCCGCAGTGCGTGGAGCACCAGACGTACTCGTACAAGTACGGCACTTTCGAGAAGCTGGTGGAGCTGATGGCGTGGAGCGCGCGGCTCGAGCGCTGCGCGTGGTGCGCGGGCGCGGCGCGCGAGCGAGCGCTGCTGGCGCTGCTGGCCGGCCCGCCCGCGCCGCCCGCCGCGCCGCGCCGCCTGCCCGCCGCGCCCGCGTACGTACCGCGCACACACGTGCAAGTACACGCTACACGCTACACGCTACACGCGGGCCGGCCCGCCCGCGCCGCCCGCCGCGCCGCGCCGCCTGCCCGCCGCGCCCGCGTACGTACCGCGCACACACGTGCAAGTACACGCTACACGCTACACGCTACACGCGGGCCGGCCCGCCCGCGCCGCCCGCCGCGCCGCGCCGCCTGCCCGCCGCGCCCGCGTACGTACCGCGCACACACACACGTGCTACACGCTACACGCGGGCCGGCCCGCCCGCGCCGCCCGCCGCGCCGCGCCGCCTGCCCGCCGCGCCCGCACCGCGCACACACGCTACACGCTACACGCTACACGCGGGCCGGCCCGCCCGCGCCGCCCGCCGCGCCGCGCCGCCTGCCCGCCGCGCCCGCGTACGTACCACGCACACACGTGCAAGTACACGCTACACGCTACACGCTACACGCGGGCCGGCCCGCCCGCGCCGCCCGCCGCGCCGCGCCGCCTGCCCGCCGCGCCCGCGTACGTACCGCGCACACACGTGCAAGTACACGCTACACGCTACACGCTACACGCTACACGCTACACGCTACACGCGGGCCGGCCCGCCCGCGCCGCCCGCCGCGCCGCGCCGCCTGCCCGCCGCGCCCGCGTACGTACCGCGCACACACGTGCAAGTACACGCTACACGCTACACGCTACACGCTACACGCTACACGCTACACGCGGGCCGGCCCGCCCGCGCCGCCCGCCGCGCCCGTGTACGTACACGCGCGTACGCGCACGCTCGCACACAAACACGCAAGCACGCTACTGTCTATCATACAGTAACAATAAAATATCTATCAATAAACGTGTTTTCTGTTCTCAAATCTCTCTCCCAATCTCCCAAATATTGTAGTATTGTTTTGTAATTCCTTTTTTAGTACAATACAATAACTTTTATATTTCAAAGCTCCTTTCATATAATATTACATATGTATGTGTGTTTTTTTATTATATCTCGAAGTTTGGTGTATCTCTTGGCAAAGGCCTCCTCTAACGACTACCGTTACTTTTTGTCTTTTGCAACTCTTCACCAGTTTGTTTCTAGGATACCATTCAGTCAAGATTTTGCTGCATGTCATTAGGCCCCAGCAACATATGACCCATCCAACTCCATTTCATTTTATCTATCTTAGTGAGAATATCAGTTACATCTGTCCCCAGTCTTATAAGACTTTCTTTATTTGTTTAGTTTCTTAATTTCCAACATGCTTCCCTCCAAAGCTTTAGTACTTAACATTTAAAAACTTGAAATTGTTTCCACAGGGACAACCGCGATTTAAATGTCATCCTCAACTGGGACCCTCCACAGTGTCAAGATACCAATTTAAAAGAGCGAACATTCGAGCAAGAGATGGACTATTTACGATTAAAAGACGCATTGGTATCGGCGATCGCGTTGTGTATCGAGTTATCCGACGGTCGACCGATAGAGAATAAGCAACCCCAGTACGAGGAACTTAAAACGTGTATAGAGGCCTTTAGCACTGCAATAGAGAAGTGTAAAGAAAAATACAGCGCACCAGAAAAGATTAGTATATCGGGACCTTTTCCTTCTAGAATTATTGGTAAGTTTCTAGCTTGTTCTTGAATTTAAAATGTAAATTATTGTATGCAATAGGTTTTAGCTCATTCCCGTTTGGTCCAAGCAGAGAATAGACCACCCCCTTCTTTTCCTGTGAGTTTCGTAAAAAGCGACTAAGGGCGGGCGAGGGATGGGCAGCAGTCGCTCTTAAAACGTCTCTAAAAGCCTAACTGCGGTTGCCAAGGGTGGCAACTAATGGCAGAACTTGCCTATCCTGTGAGTGTTGTAAAAGGCGACTATAGGAACTTAATGATAGAGGAATGGGCAACTGCATTCCTCTTAAAACATCTCTGAAAGTTTAAACTGTGGTTGTTAGGGTATGCAATCCCCCCCACCCCTCAGGAATTAGAAATTAATCATAAGTATTATAGCACACATATCCGTGCGATCTGCGGTTTGGAATAATTTGTCTTTTGCTGAATTTGAATGAATGTGTATAGTGTAATTTGTATTTCCACGAACAGCCTTCGTGAACTCGGAGGTGCCGTACCGGGAGTTGTACTCGTGGACGCTGCGCATAGTGGGGGCGCTGGCGGTGAATGAAGTGGAGGACGCGCACCGCTGCCTGCAGCGCGGCGCCCAGCTGCTGCGGCAGGCGGCCGGCGAGCTGCGAGCGGCCACCACCTCTACTTCCACCTCCACCGGCGGCGACCGCGCGTGGAACATGCGGGATCACTTGGAGAAGTTGTCCAACTATTTAGAGGTATATTAGCTTGGTATAACTTGAGAGATACAAGACAAGAAATAATTTACCTGGTAGGGTATGAAATGTCTATTTGGTAATTTTTTTTTAATGGATTATAATGGTATGGCAACCCCACCTGTGCTAACGGTATGCGCTGGCGGGGCACCAGTGATGGATGATAAGCGAGAATGAAAAGGCAGGCCAGTTAATTTACCGTAATGGATTCACCTGGAATTAAGCACGATGGTTTCCAGGGGGACCACGTGGAGGTCAACCTGGTTGGGCATATTGCTAGCAATGGAACTGGCAGTCTGCATTACTGACAATATGACCCCCAATATGCCCCCCCCCTCATTCAAAACAACTGATACAAATTTCGTTATTAAAAAAAAATTAAAATGTATTTATTGGAACCATAAAAATATGTGTTATGTATTTTATTATTCTATATTGTATTTACAACGGATGAGGAATAAAGATTCTTAAATGGCGACTTCGTATGGGCAAACGCAGTGTAGGATGACCCCTCACTAGATGGACCGACAGCCTCAAAGGCATTGCAGGGAGTCAATGGATGCAGGTAGCTGAGGACCGTTCCTTATGGCCTATGTCCAGCAAAGGCCAATAATGTTTGAAATGATATTGTATTTAATACAAAACATCCATAGATATGCCTGACGCTTTCTGAGTCACAACCCTCTTGAAGAGACCAACGGAATATAACATTACATATTGTTCCTTTAATTCCAGTTTATAGGAATCATCACGTACCTGTTAGGAGTGTGCAACGAGTTGATAGCGCCGCTGAACACTAAGAAGTCCAAAAAGAAGACCAACCAGTCACCAGAGGAGATCAAAACATCGGAGCTCCTCAACAGGCTGAATGAAACTGTCCAGGACAGCATCACCCTTCTAGTGGATGTGTTCGAGAATTGGCCTCAGTACGAGTTCAAGACGACTCTCCACGAAGAATTCCCAACGATAGATTTAGAAAAATATCAGAGGCCAGTGGAGGAGAAGTTGAAGAATGGACGACTAGAAATGATAAATGATATTAGTTTTATACTCAAAAAGAAGTCTAAGTATTTGAAGAGTCTAATACAGTGAAGTGGCCTTTTCATTTAGGTGCATATGTTGTTTATAACGTCGCGGTTACACTGCGCGAGCGATGCGATGCTATACTTTGTTTTAATTTATCTAATAACATTTACAATTGTTGTGAGTGACGTCTGAAACGTATAATGATATTCAATCGTCATCATCGTCAGCGTGTCATCACCCCCTTTGATATTTAATAGTTTATTGAATGGTATGCAATATCTATTTGTAATTCGTGAATTTACTGGGTACACAGCAATAACATCTAAGTCCTCAGGAATGTATGTTAAACCGGTAGTTATTATATTAAACCATTTCAATAGTTAAAATAGGTTTACGAGATGTTTTGCGTTTTATGAGTTTTATGGCAAATCTTTTCTTAATAATTACTTATACATGCCATTTTGTAGAGATTTTGTACAGAGGAATAACACCTGAGTCCTCAGGAATGGCAACGCATGGGGGTATCATGGGCGAAACAGTATACTCTGTTATGTCCATGGTACTGCTCATGTCTATAGGCGACGGTTACCACTTTAAATCAGGTGGGCCGTCAGCTTGTTTGACATTCTAAGTAGTATAAAAAAAAATCTTAAATTTCAAAATATGTCTCCAATATTCTGTAGTAATTCAGATGTGAATATTTACAAACTGACTGGTAATGTTCGCATTTTATATCATTACGGATTTAAAAATCTTTATTTATATTAATAATTTAGTTATATATATAAAACATTATACTTGAACGATTCGTTTGTTGCCTTATAACACCTACTCGGAAACACCATACGCTTCTCATATTTTTTCCATGAGAAAAATCCATTTCTTATGCTACTTAATTTGGCAAACAAGTATAGGTCCAGTCTTATGGGCAAACAATTTGTCATAGGCGCAGACACACTGCGCTTGTTATAACCTAACAAGAATTATCAATTTTATAAGACCTTTACATCTATTTATCGAATAAAAAATATAAATAAATAGTATTGACGTTCGATCCATCCCAAGTAGTATGTGTATGCCAAACTTCGTTGATGTATTAAGACGTCAAGAGGTAACAAACAAACAGTTTCACATTTATAATATTAGTAAAGATTTTTAGTTGGCTATTCAAATCGCGCTAAAAAACATCGAAGGGCTAAGTTTACTTATAAATACAATAGATTCTCTTATATTTCATTCGCTTCGCTCTCACAGTGTACCACAGTCCTATCACTTAACACATATCTTGTAAATACTCGTCACTTACAAATAATTTAATTCCCTTGTGAATAATAAATCTAGTTTGCTTTGTACATGCTTGATATTAAAGCGGGAAAGTTGAATTAAATGTATATTTATATGAAATATTATATTTTATAAAAGATGGAAGACCTGGCTAGTGAGACTAAATGTAACTATGGAAGCAGTCTGCATGGATACATCTATACCGGTCATGTTTATGTCGTGAAGCAGCTATGTTTCAGCTCGGGTGCAGCATGGCAATGTAATTGCAAGGTACAGACGCGTAATACCATTGGTCCTCAGGGATGTTAACGCATGAAATGACCAGAGAACGTTTTGCGCAAAGGTTCCGCTCGGATATTAGAGAGGGCAGAGTCCACCTGACCTTTTGAATATGGATATGAAACTTATCTAGCTAAATTTACGTCGATGTAAATACAAAACGTAATTATTTTTTTTATAGATAAGTGCGGAAAATAACCCTATGTATTGGAACACTTCATAAAACATTCATATTTCCCGTGTCAACTAATTTTTGTTTGAAAAAATCAGTTTTATGTTTTATAAAAAATGGGATTTATTTACGCGATCATTTAAGTAAACAATAGTAATTTAACCGAATTATCTGGACTTTTTGACCAGAGTGCCTACCATGAAATATTTTCCGAAATTTCGGGTCCGAACGAAACAAAAATTTGATGTTAAAATTACTTGATACATACGGTTTAAAATAATAAAAATGCTAAAGTATCGTTCCTTTTTTATTTTTATGGTAGGATTTATGACAATGAAATGTTAAGCTCCATTTATAGGGTCGATTTAGGTATGAACAAAAACACGAAATTGAGCCCGAAATTTCGGAATTTCATTTCATGGTAGACCCCCAGGTTACACCGACCATGGTCTCGAGTAAACTGATGTTAATTCCCCTCTCTTATAAACCATAAAACAACATAAGCGCCAAATTAATTTGACAAAATATGAATGTTTTTTTCTTTCACGACTAAGGAAAAATCATTTTTATGTTGCCTCGTACTTCAGAAGAAATGTAAAATAGCTGTTTTTTTTTTTAATAAAAAAGGTGACCTGAATATCTGATACTAGAGGGCGCCACATTATTATCGTAATCGTATTACTAGATATCCAAATGTACCATTCAAGCGTCAATAGAAAATTGGATCACAGTTTAAATACATTTTTAAATACCGATACCGTTCTTCCATCCTTTTACATATACATATTCGTGCCAACATAACAAGATGATTTCTGTTTATAATTGACAACTGGTGCATCCATGATTGGCTATTATATTTATACAATGCTAAATATAACATAATCCAATAAAGTTGTATTTGTTGCAGTCAAAACTCTTAACCAGTCGAAAGTAGTTTTGACTGAAAATTATTGGTTATTAGTACTTTTGACTGCGAATTTGCGGTTAGGTTAGGTACTTTTAACTGTTATTGATTTTACTAGTCAATAGTACTTTGACTGGTTACTGATTTTACTAGTCAATAGTACTTTGACTGGTTAAGAGTTTTGACTGCAACATATTAATTTTACACGTATAAACAGAGGGCCTACCATGAAATGTTTTCCGAAATTTCGGAGCCTAACATAACCCAAATTTATTGTTAAAATTATATAATACTTACCGTTTAAAAACATTAAAATTATTATTCTTTTTTTTTTAATGGGTGATGATGTAATAGTAACCCTGTCTGCGCTATCGCTATACACTGGTGGGGCACCAGTGAGTGATGATAGGTGAGGATGAAAAGACAGGTCAGTTAGCCCATCGTGTTACTTGAAACTTACACTTGGAATTTAGCACGATGGTTTCCAGGGGGGACCATGTGGAGGTCGACCTGTTCGGGTATATTGCTAGCAATTGGGTCCTCAGTCTCCATTATTAACAATCTCTTCCCCCCCCCCCCCCAATATTATTCCTTTGGACTTTTATGATAGGATTTATGACTAACGAAATGTTAAGCTCCATTTACTGGGCCGATTTAGGTATGAACGAAAACACGAAATTGAGTCCGAAACTTCGGAATTACATGTCATGGTAGGCCCCCAGGTTTGTTACTTTTTATTATTGTATCAAGACAAAGCTGTACGTGCGTGCCCTTTAATTATGAACTTTGTATAAACGAAAATATTTATTACAATTTTACAATTGCTATTGTGTCACTCGTTCACGACAGAACTTATTATGCAAGAATGCAAAAAATTCAATGTTGTATTTTGGCGGACAGGAGAATGTTCCTGTAATTGGCAGTCGTATGCAGAGGTGTGTAAAATTTGTTAGTGAACTGTTCAAACGTATGGACAGACAAATGGTGCTCAAAAGTTTAAAACATGCATCGCTCTCTTGAAAGAGAGTCTGGTATGGATATGTATGTATATTTTATTCTTTTGCCTAATTAAGTTTGTGTCAAGTTGTATGTTGTATTGTTAATACCTGAGAGTGATAACTATTGCAATTTTGTAAATTAAATATAACTTATACCGTCTCTTTATTGTTTTATTTTTGTCCATCTCACCCTCTCATAAATCAAAACTTTTTGAATAGGTGGTAATACGATCTAAATGTCCTGTTGCTAGCAACATACTCTATCTAGTCGACCTCCACATGGCTCTCCCCGGAAACCATCGTGGTTAATCATTGTTGACTGCTCATGTCTATAGGCGACGGTTACCAATTTCCATCAAGTGGGCCGTCAGCTTGTTAGCCATTCTAAGTCGTATAGAAAAAAATAGCTTCGTCATATGGCCCAATTGACCATCATCTTCATCTATCGACCCTGACAGGTGGCCCGCCATTGTATACCAACAGCACACGCTGTCATTATTTCATTTTCACCCATTAAAAAAACGATTTACGCTGTCGGGGTACCAATGAGGAATAAGTAAAGATGAAAAGGCAGGTCAATTCGCCCATCGTGGTCGATTCCGAACAATGATTTCTAAGGGGGACCGCAGGGAGTTTAGCCTGACAGGGTATATTACTAGCAACGGGGCTGGTAGTCCCCATTACTAGCAATCCCTTCTCCAAACCAAAAACTAGGCTGTATAGGCTTCGTTTTCTTTGCTTGTCCTTTTACAAAAAGATAAAAAAAATACCTACATTCAGCTAAAGCCATATAAGATCACTATTTTATTTATTTACCAGTTTAGAAAGTAGTTTAACCAAAACTGGCAAGAAAAGAATTGTTTAGACGCACTTTTTTTGTAGGATTTAAGGGTTTTTACCCTCTTGGTACCGAACCCTGGCCATCCTAGAACCGCATCGCTAGCGAATCCGGGAGAAAAAATGAGACATTCAGCGTTGCTATCTCACGAACTCGGTAGCGATGATTCCATCGACGAATTCGCTTGCCATTTGTCTAGAAGGCTTGTAGTGATTTTTAAGATAAGGCTTTATCTTCTTTGCCTAAAGAGAAAAGAGAATTAATGACATCAATAATTTACCTCTGTCCCATTCGTGTTTCAACCGTGAAGCAGTTGTTTGCATGGCTGTGTTTCGGTTTGAAGGGTGGGATATGACGTGAGTTTACTGGGTGCCGAGGAATAAATATTGATTCAATACGACAAATATTTAATCTATTTAGGCGAAAATGGTGCACGCTCTTCCCATCAGATGTGCTTTTTTTATTCCTTTTATATGGATAATGGTTAAATCGGGGTCGAACAGCTAATTAAATTTTATATATTGCATGGATATAAGTCCAATGCGATGTAACACGCAACACTAAGGATTCCATATGAGTGTTCTGCAACTCAATTTGTATTTGGTTTTTGGTTGTAATGTTTTGTGTATTTGTTGTTATGTTTTATGTATTTATTGATAAGCGTGTTGACTCTCCCATCCGAGAAATAAGTATTGGCGACCCGCACGCATGCTAAAGATAAAGGGTTAAGGGGCCCCTGAAAACCATCGTGAATAATTCTTGTTGAGCTTCGTACATATATAGTAACAGCTGACCTATTTACCAGCATCATCCTAATTGTTCTTTTTTTTTCTTTTTGTTGTTTTAATTTTTTATTTTTTTAATCCATTAAAAAAGAACTCTATCTATATTATTTGTATATGATTTATAGGCATTTCTCGGTAAGGGCCGATTGTTGATTGGCCAGACTGTGTAGGCCTGACTATGTAGGAGGAAAGGGATTGTTAGTAATGGGGTCTAATTGTTGTCCCACTGTTAGCAATACATCCTATCAGGTCGACCTCCACACGGTTCCCCCTGGAAACCATCGTGGTTAATTCTAGTAGAATTCGTCACGATGGGCTAACTGATCTGCTTTTATCGTCACCTATCATCCCTCAATGGTGCCTTATCAGGGTATAACGATAGCACGGGCAGGGTTACCATCCCATTATCGCCCATTAAAAAATGCTGACTATGTATGTTTGATCTAATATATATAAATGTGTCTCGAGTGCAGTCCAGACTGCTCGGAGGAGGAAATTTTTAATAATGGAGATTAGCAGCTCGACCTTCCCGCGGTCCCCTTTTGAAACCTTGAAGATTAATTCCTGGTGAATTAATTACGATAGATACAATTGCAATTAAACAAAATGGCGGAAGATGTACCTCTTTAACCCAGTGATTGAAAAACATTAAAAATAAAATACAAGTTTACATAACTTTTATATTTATTTACAATACGAATACTGCAGCAACATGAATCTTTCGGACACTGTACAAAAATACGCGTGATATCGGAATTATCTAAACATTTATAACAGTTATACAGTCTGAACAGTGGAATGTGATGGATTGGGTACATACAAACCTTTAGTCTGTTTAGTCTCAGGACATACAAGATTCAAAATAACATATGATACAAAAAACTAAAGATGAAAGAGCAGTTTGCGTTAAAAAAAATGGGTATGAGGCCCAAAACTTCCATATCTTATAGATTTCAAGAATCGGATTTAATAGTCTCAAACACTTGAAGTCTTAAAACATATAAATCTCGCTAATTACACAAAAATTTACGTCACAATCGCATTCATATTTACGTCAATAAGTTTGTATGGAATTCTGAGTTTCCGAAAACGACCGCTAGAGGCGCTGCTGTGTACTTGTTTTCAAGACAAATTGTCGATGTAAACGTAAGATACATTGTACAGCTCACGTTAGGCACTCAGAAGAGAAAATAATCACAAAACGTGTGTGTATATTCTGAGACTAAACAGTTTTCTGGACTTATATTTTGTCACAAAGCGTTTGCTCTTGTTACATCAATTTTGCTCACACTTAAATTCTACATAGTTTATAAAATAACTGAAAATAACAAAGTATATGTATCATAATAACATTGAATTAAAAATCTTGATATTAAAAGGAAACAAAATCACACGCAACACTCTTACTCGAAATATTGAGTTGACATAATCCAAAACGTTTTATATTACAATACCTAGGTACTTTTTCAATAAATTTCAATAAACATCTTTTTTTTAAAATAAAAATAGTAATTTATTTTTAAACTAGGACAGTTTATTTTTTTTTTATTATACACGTTGAAATAAAAATCATTAGCATCGTGTTATACAAAAAAAAAAAACTTTTACCAAAGAAACATAGAAGAAAAAATATCAAAAACCCATACATATTTTGTCATTTTTCGACTTGTTTCTTTAACAGAAATATTCAGCATCACAGGTAGAATCAGCTTCATTAAAATAATGACCAATGATTTTAATTTCACCATATATTTTTTATTAAAATCAAACTTCTAATCAATCAAACTTCGTGTGCACTACGACTAAAGGAAAATAAAATATTAAATAGTAAATTAAAACATTATGCACCAACATATAACTAATACTAAATCATAGCCTACATTCGAATGACGGGTCCAGTTCGCCTCACAATTTGACCCGTAGCACAATAGGTGGCAGTAACTTCGCTTATTGATTCGCTATTTTACACATAAACACATTTTATGGTGTAAAATAGAGAAATCTTAAAATCCACACCCGTTTGTAACGCGCTTATATTGAGAAACAGCTGTAAGGGGACAGAAGGGACTTATTTTTTAATATCCGTTTAACAACAACTAATAAGAGGGAGGGGGAGGGAGGATAAATTGTTAGTAACTGCCCCTTTTGCTAGCAATACACCCTAATAAGTCGACCTCCACGTGGTTACAAAAAAAAGAACATCGACTGATATAGTAAAAATAAAAATACCATCAGCGTGCTTTGACAATCAAGTGACGCACATACCATAAATTTTTTTTTATTCATTACATACGCATTCATCAAATCTAAAAATATTTAAACAATAGTAACTGTCACTTAAAATAGATACATTAAATAATATAAACAAATACCGATTTTTGTCATTGTCAGGACTTGTCACCATTCTATTTGTATTCTGAGATATTTCAAAATACCAATCATATATATCTATCTACCTAAATAATTCGTATCAGATTCCCTAGAGAAAAGGACAAAAATAATCTAACGACAGACACATTTTCGTTAACACACGTGTATATAAGAACAGGGCACCGGATATTGCTGTCCCGTTCTATCTCATACACGTGTCAACGACAATCTTTCTATCGATAGATTCGTTTATCATTTATCTGGGGCCTGTTTAGAACATAGGTATCTTAAGACACAGTCATGTCGACACAACAAAATAATACGTACAAAGAGTAAAAACCGCCTCAAACGCACACAATTTACGTTCCGTTACATCATAAGAACTTTAGATAAATCTAAATTGTACTGAACATACAATTACTATGAGATTTATGAACGACTCTACCTAACATTTACATCTCACGAGATATGTGATTTTATAACAATATCACATGTTATTATGTATATTTTGCACATTATCACACTAAATTTAACATTATTTGTCGAGTAGCTTTGAACTGAATTCGTCATAAATATTATATATACATATATACTATAGTAAGTGTATTAGTTTATTATTTTATTAAAACAAATGCGTACGAATAATAACATTCATTAAAACATACCAACTTTTCCCAAGGAACGAGAGTTAGGATATGAAAAAAAAATTCTAAAAATATTTTCCTATATCGAACAAAGTCCCTTTAGGAAAAATTCTTCCGACTTTGTGAATACTATTGCTGGATTTCGATATACACTTTTTATGACAAATATGGACAGACAAATATGAATATATTTATTTTAATATATACATAGAATACGCCTTTAACAGTTATAACATGAACACAAATATTTATATTATAACGGGGATCGAACCTTCAACTATCGGTAAATGAGAGTTAATTAAACCGTTACACCATCAAGGTCGTCACATAATAAAAATATATTTATATTGATCAAAAAGTGAAAAGAAATAAAAATAATCTGTTTTATACAACTTAGAATGGCAAACAAGCTGACGGCCCACCTGATGGAAAGTGGTAACCGTCGTCTATAGACATGAGCAGTACCATGGACATAACAGAGTATACTGTTTCGCCCATGATACCCCCCCATGCGTTGCCATTCCTGAGGACTCAGGTGTTATTCCTCTGTACAAAATCTCTACAAAATGGCATGTATAAGTAATTATTAAGAAAAGATTTGCCATAAAACTCATAAAACGCAAAACATCTCGTAAACCTATTTTAACTATTGAAATGGTTTAATATAATAACTACCGGTTTAACTTACATGTAATAAGATCGAGAAAGCTCGACTAGTTTCGGGATCAATTCGTGACTCTTAATTATGAGCGGCTGTGACACGAGCGCGAGTTTTTTGAATTTATCGAAGTGGGGTCTTTTTGATTTGCGCTGAATTTTCACTTTGATAAAAGTGACAACACACTCCAAAAGTTAAAACAGGTTTGTTTTTAATTTTTATAAAAAAAAAAAGGTGTTTAAATTTTTAGATTCGGTATGGTCCCAATCTCTAAATCATCTACAATGAGAAATCCCTCAGTGAAGTGAAGTGAAACTATGAAACTATACCTCAAAGATAAAACAATTTAATTACCATGTAATGATAAGACTTTATACAATTTTAAACACTTCGTTTAGTTTAAAAAAAGAAGTTCCAACATAACATTATATATTTTTTGTTTGTCTTCCATACATATTGGTATGTTTTTTTAAACAAATATATTGCAAATTTGAAACGTAAAATTAGACAATGGATTTTTTTAAATACATAGTAGAAAACTGAGGGAAACAACGGAATTGATTTTGCGGCGCCATTTCTCTAAAGCTGTCTCTAAAATTAATAGCACATCGAAATCTCTATTGGAATGAACAATATGAATTAAATTTCTAATTTATTTGTGTCTAAATTATGTAAACTTAGTTTATGATGGTCCCTGAAATAGTATTTTCACGAATCAAGTCAGAATTTAAAAATTTATTCAAAAAAAAAATACAAAAACCAGACTTCTGTCATTTTGGATTTAAAAACTGCTGAAGTGACTTTATAAAAATTCCCATGGGCCCAATCTAAAAATGTATTATTTTGAATAAAAAAAGATTTTTTCAAATAGTTTATAAATGACAGAGTTGTGAGGTAATTAACATAAAAGAAAAATACACAATTAAATTGAGAAGACCCTCCTTTTTTGAAGTTGGTTGAAAAATACTAGTTTTAGAAATGAGCGCCTCAGAATCGATCTCAGCTATATAGAGTTTATATATTGACTTACATACATGATAACTCATTCATCTATTTCACAATTTACAACAAGCAATGAATTTCTTCTAGCAATTCTACAATTTAAAAATATTAGCAATTAATGCGTTGCAGGGTTTTATCATGTACATAACTTTATAAACAGACATATTGAAATCACAGTCAATTTTATATAAATCTATGGATGTAATATAATTATATTTAATATTTTATAAGACATTTAGCAGTTGGGAATGTGAGAAAAATAAAATAGCAACGTAATGTCGACCTTACGCTGTTCACGAAATGCGCGTGTCTTGTTAATTCTTACTTATTTATGATCCAAAGGTACATATGTAATCGTCCAAGCATTGTATGTTAAATAAAACTAATATATATTTGGCCAACACAGCAACAATGCACACACTAGCGTAACCTAGCAACCAATACTTAATTTGGTCAGTCAGACATTTGGCAAAACCACAAATATATTTACAAATGTTTGTGCCAACACTGTGAACTATTTTTATACACCACTGCTGGAGTCACATCTGTGTTATTCACATTTGAAATAAAATAATAGATTATGTAATTTGTAACAAAGTTTTATATCAGCACTTTCGATTGGCGAGAAATCTACGCCTGTGGCGCCCCCTATCTGTATTGAGATTTAAAAAAACTATGTAATAGTATGTAAAATATGGCAATATTATGTTGTGATTTTGGTGAGAATGCCGCCTGGAGCAAGTACCTCGATTTGCCCTTCCTAGATCTGGAGATGTTTATCAGACCCTGAACTGAAAGAGAAACGCGTTGCGGCCATCTTGAATCATTTTATAATAATAGTTACAAAGCTGCTGAAGCTAAATTCGTCATAGTCGTAGAATACTGACGGATCTTTATATGTAATATTCGTCAGATCCGTCAGTATTCTACGACTATGACGAATGGATCAACTACATTAACTATATACCTTATACATATGAAAGTAAACTTTGCCACCTCAACCAATTGTCATGAAATTTAATAGACTCGTAGAATACGTAGGTTACTTTTATGTCTGTCTGTTAAAACTGGTAACAGATAAACATATAAAACTTCGTTACGAATTACTACGTGACAAACAACGGTGTAAATCCAGCATTGACGACAATATACAGGGCACATTAATCACTTGACGTGACGTGAAGCCATATTGAATGCACTTGACAGTATAGTACCCAAATATATTGAGTCATGGCATCTTAATTGAGTCCGTTAAATCCATGAAACGCGCAATTTTGTAATTACAACTGTATAAATAACATATGTATAGTAGGTATGTAAATAAATACATTTCAACATACATTTTAATTTTGCAAACGATATGTGTATTATTTGATTATTAATTAATGGTGAATTGGCTAGGGGAAAAACAAACAAGTTATCAGCCCATATGTTGGAAAGTGGTCATCGTCACCTATATATTGTACATGAAAAATACCATGGACATCAGAGAATATATTCTGACACCCATGGTACAAGTGTTGCCATCTCTAAGGCTATGGTATTATACCTCCATACACTGCAATTAATTTTTTTACTAATTATACAAAATAAATCTTATATTACTCATGTGAATTCTGTATTTTAACAGCTCTGACCGTCTACTTGCCACAATAGGTTTAAAAGATATGATGTCGAATTTAATATATTTTCTGTGGTATTACTAAATAAAATAAAACTTGCCAATTGAATAAATAATAGATCCCTACAATTAAACAAACAGTTTGAGGTACAATTCAATACAGGAGGTTAAATAAATGATGCGAGTGCCCAATAAAACAACTCGTTATGAGTCAGCGCTTATTTACTTTATTACAAATAGAAGAGATTTGATTATTTGATTTTTTTAATGAATGAAATAAATTCAATAACTACTCGAGTGATTTTAAAAATTGTTTCACCTATTGAAAGCTACACTATTAGCGAATAACACAGGATTTAATATTATTTTCGATCTATCTGCCCATGTAAAGACAGGCCGGATCGCTAGTCTTAACTAATAATATATTTTTTTTATAAGTTATGTAAACACACAAAAAAATACTTAACCGATTTTAAAAGGTGCTATCCAGTTGTGTAAGCGAGATAGATGACAACATGAAAGTTTAGATTAAAAAAAATCACTGACAAATGAAAATATGACCGCAAATGCCACGAGTGTATTTTTAATCAATAATTTTTATAAATCATATGAGAAGGCCTTTGATTATAAAATAAATATAGGGGTCGATTCTAAAGCGCTATTTCTCCAGACCTATATCTAAAATAAAAATTTGATATCACAGTGGAATCTTTATTGTAAAGGTCTAATATGAACGATTTTCTAATATATTTATGTCAACAATATTATAATTTTAGTTTACGACGGCCCATAAAACTAGCTGTGTGGTCCCGGCATAGATTAAGCCACGCTTTCTTTTCCCGTGAGTGTCTTAAGATGTGACTAAAGGAGTGCGAGGGATGATCAGCAGCGTCCCTCTTAAAGCATCTCCAAAGTGTGATAACCCCACAAGGGGAAGGCTTATGTTCAGCAGTGGACAGTTAAAGGCTGATATGAGTGAATGAATAGTTCATAAAACAGTGATTTAGTGAAATTATCAAATTAAGGCAAATACTGACAAAATCCACCAAAGGAGAGGCTTATGTTCAGCAGTGGACGATAAATAGCTAATATGGTGATGATGATGATGATCAAATTAAAATATTAGGTTAAGAAATAGATTTAAAAAATAGGCACCTCAGAATTAACCCCATTTTATTAGAAAAAAAAAAGCGATTATTCATTACTATCATTATGAAGTACACTCATATATGTAAATAAATAGAAACTCTATCGTTCATAGCAAGTTTATCTCGATGACTTAATAAAAAAAAAATAACACAAGAATAACAGTAGAATATGCATCTTAAAAATAGTTGTAGAAAAATAAATTATGTCTTTTCTATACTGCAATAACGTATTGTAAAAGAATCAACCGGAATATACAGTATGTAGCTGCGTACAGATAGGTACAGTATCTAAGGCACACCTCAAATTGGAGATTGATGATTTGATTACAATAGAAACAAGTTACCAATGAATAATAATCGCAAATACCTGATCGCCAATGTGCAAGCGGCCTTACTAGGCACGAAAGCGGCCCAAATTCACACCAATTACCTTTTCAATCCTCCCGTCATACTTGTGCATGCGATTGTAGACTTTACACTAAATTTATACGGTTCATATTGGTTTGTCGCACTTATCACTGACAGTCGTAAGTTCGGTTTCGTCTCGTACCACTAACGTCATTATCACAAAGCACTTAAGGTATATAATTACTTGGCAGTCAGTATTGCACTCGCGTACTCATAGAGTGTTGAACAGGTCCCGTGCGTTATTCTTCGAATAACGCTTGTACGAGCAGTCGCTGAATCAGCTGCCACTGTGGACGTAATATTAAATATTAATAACTATACTATTAGTAGTCATGCGAGGGTGGTGCCATCTAGTGTTAAGAGTAACTTTTTTTTAAAGACTTTATTATATCAGCTATTCACTAGAGGGCTTTGCTAATAGCAGCGTCCCTCTTAAAACATCACCAAAAGTCTAGCTGCAGTAGCTAACACGCTAGCCAGGCCTGGCAACTACTGACAAAACTCCCTTATGGGGGAGGTTGATCACAAATTAGCAGTAGACACTCAATGGCCATGACGATAAATCCACTTTTCAAACTGCAGTTACTTCACGGCAGAAACACGGGTGGATGAATTTTGTATAAAGATTCCTTCTGGTAATTTTTTACCTTCTATTGGGCATGGCGCGCCGCCTGGCCGTCTGCCGTTGGTGCTCAAACTCGAAGTCCTCTTCCGTGAGGTTCAACCTTTGCATGTGGTACATGAGGTACTCTTCTCCCAGGATGCTCTCTGGGGGGTGTCGGAGAACCTCTAGGGTCTCGCAGAGTCCGCAGGCGCGTTTCCGCACCTTTGCAGGGCCCAATGCACCAGCCAGTATTACCAGCGCCGCTTTGAATAGAACCTGGAAGGCATAGACAAGTAAAAACTGGTTATTGTTCAGATATGAATCATAACAATGTGGTAGACAAAACAGCGATTGACTTTTCTAAAATCTAGAATGTTCTGTTTATTTTTTTTTTTTATAACAAACTAAAGACGCAATGTGTAATGGTGGTAGACGCATTGCAGAAGGCATTGTAAGAGGTACAATGCCTTCTGCATCGCGTAAATCTTATTCACATTTACTTTGCCAACTCTTGACAATTTGTTGCCAGATTATGAAAGCGATTCAACCACAGATTAAGTAATGAAATGTCGCGTTTGGTTTCAAGACAGATTCAACTGAAAATATATTTTTACAGTTATGTGTCTACTGCTATGGTAGATACATTTCTGCAGCTAGCAAACAAAGCCTTTGAGTATCTCGCTTTGCACATACCTTGACCCCTTCGCACAGGAAGCAGTCCCAGACGCGCAGCAGGCTGTCCCAGGGCAGAGTGCGTGTGAGGGCGCACAGGAACCACTCGGTAGCGTACAGCACCGGCTCCACCTTGTGCTTGGTCAGGTGCCGGTGAACAGCCGGCGCCGTCCGTCGCAGCAGCGCATGTAGAATGTCGCCGTCGCGCTGCAGCACCTGTACACCAGGGGGGCAAGAGATTGTTAGTAATGGGGTCTAACTGGCCCATTGCTAGCAATACACCTTATCAGCAGGTCGACCTCCAAGCGGTTTCCCCTGAAAACTGTCATGGTTAATTTTATTTGAATTCGCCACAATGGGCTGACTTTCTTTCATCCTCACCTATCATCTCTCACTGGTGTCCCGCCAGCATATACCGATAGTGCAGACGGGATTGCCGTTCCATTATCACCCAAAGATAAAAAAAAAAAAAAAAAAGGAAAAAAAAGAAAAAAAGAGCACCTGTACACTGTGGAACTTTTGTAATACGATATTCTTGGGCCAAATAACTACCGTCGTTTTTTTTTTATTTTCTCCTATACCCAAAGGTTGTCTGAAAGAGATTTCTTCGGCGGTAGACCGCCTTTTGGATTTCATAAGCGTAATAAATATTTTTGTATTATTCTTTAAGTGGTGTAACAAAGAGTAAATAAATAAATATTAATGAAATGGTAACCCCACGTGTGCTATCGGTATACGCTGGCAGGGCACCAAATGATCTTTTATGAGTCAAGAAAAATGGAGCTATTATGTATTTTTGGACAATTTTTCTATGTCTATAGCCTGCCAGGTTGATCTCCACACAGTCTCCTCTAGAAACCATCATGAGCAAACTGACTTCATCCTCACTTATCGTCACTCACTGGTGTCCTGCCAGGGTATACCAATAACGCAGGCATGGTCTTCGTTACATTTTGCCACCATTACAACTAGGTACTATAGGGAAGCTGTCTTTTCTAAAATTAGAAGTATTAACAAACCTCGAGTCCCGGATTGTAGTAGCCCTTCAAGTACTTGTCGCTGATGCTGACCAGGCACCAGAAGGCCTGCACGGCGGGCATGTGCATCAGTAGGAACGCGGCGACCGGCGCCTGTGCTTGGAAGTAGCCAACCTTCGGATTTAGCACTGAATACGCTTTCAGCACGGAGAACAACTCTTGCTGCCTGCAATTTACACAATTTTGTACTTTATTTTCAATACTATAAGGATCTTATCGTGTTATTCTTAAAATTAGAACATTTTAACTAATATTTATTATAAATGTGAAAGTGAGTTTGCTTATTTGTTACTTTATATATATTTGTTTGTTATTTTATAGTGCCTTAACGGCTTAACAAATCAGTATGAAATTTTGTACACATATGTGTATACTACATGGAATAAAGATGGCTATATATAGGCTACTTTTTGTACCGGTCACATGAGTAAAACCTAGTAATCTATAAAAAAAGCTCGCTTAAGCTAATCTCAAAAATCGCTTAATCGATTTAATGTAATTTTGTGGATTTGTATTGTTTTTTTTTTTATACAACTTAGAATGGCAAACAAGCTGACGGCCCACCTGATGGAAAGTGGTAACCGTCGCTTATAGACATGAGCATAATGAGCCCATGGACAAAATAGAGTATATTGTTTCGCCCATGATACCCCCCATGCGTTCCATTCCTGAGGACTCAGGTGTTATTCCTCTGTACCCAGTAAATTCACGCCATATCCCACCCTTCAAACCGAAACACAGTCATGCAAACACAGCTGCTTCACGGTTGAAACACGAATGGGACAGAGGTACTCAAGCAATCGACTTTTGTACAAAGTCTCCCTCTGGTTCTGGTAGTTTAGATTTTAAATCAAAATAACTGGTTTTCCCACAACTGTAGTCGATTTTTTTTACTGGCAGAGTACTAGTGATACTTAACGTGACGAAGTTGTTAAAAATGTGAACATATGAATAATAAAAAAAAAAAAAACTCTTAAAAACAATTTAAAAAGAAACTAAAAGACTGGCTTGTCGAGAAGAGCTTCTATAGTGTTGAAGGATTCTTAACATTATTTATATGTTATCTCCAATGCTGATTTTTATTACTGTAATAACAATTTGAAATGACGTGATTACTATTGTTATAAATTAATATTGCTTTTAAACATTAATATTATAATAAACGCTATATTCTCGAAATTATAATAAAATATGACAAACTTGCAATAGGAATGACATAATTAATTGAAATTAGACTTGTAATTTAGAAAATTATGAATAAATGATCTGTCTCTGTAATTAACTCGACCTAATAGCACCCTGATGATGATGAGCAATGCAAATAAAATACCGATTAATTAATTAAATGTTCCGGTTTATCACTAATTTCATATAGAGAGTGTTACTGTGATAATTAGAAATAAAACTTGGTCACATTTTCTTTAAGTTCTACTAAAATATACTATATGACTAAATATACTATACTAACATTTCATATTCCCCTCCACAGATATACATAGTTTTTTTTTTAATGGGTGAAAATAAAATGGTAACGGTAATGGTCACCAGAGGGAGATTTTGTACAAATAACGTTTGCTTAGGTACCTCTATCTCATTCATGTTTCAACCGTAAAGCAGTTGTGTTTTGCATGGCTGTATTTCGGTTTGAAAGGTGGGATATGGCGTGAATTTACAGAGTACAGAGGAATAACACCTGTGTCCTCAGGAATAGCAACACATGGGGGGTATCATGGGCGAAATAGTATACTCTGTTATGTCCATGGTACTGCTCATGTCTATAGGCGACGGTTACCACTTTCCATCATGTGGGCCATCAGCTTGTTTGCTATTCTAAGTTGCATAAAAAAAAAACTCCACCTGCACTATCGGTATACACAGACGACGATATACACAGTACTAGCTAGTACAAATACAGCTTAACTTCATAAAAAGGGCAAGCCAGGAATTATCCAGGTCGGCAAATATAATGTGATTAAATCTAAGAGTGGATAACATATAGCAATATCAATATAGCAATATTGTTATTACAGTATCCATATTTTGTCCCCAATAACGAATATATCAAATATCAGTTATCGAATATATAATATTGAAATGAAGAACCCGGTCGAAATGAACACTGATATTCGACTAGTACAGTCGATATCGAAATAGGTGATGACGTTTTTTCCGCCATAAATATCTAACATATAGTCATTACCCAATACCCAATATATAGTTATTTGGGCGGTATCGATATTAGTAAAATAATTAATATAATTAAATCATAGGCAAACGTGTCAACTCACCCCAACCCTTCTTCCCTTATAAACATCTCGTGGTAGGGGAACTGTCTGTGAAGGTCCTTCCTGATGTCCTCCATGCATTTAGGGTCACCGGGGGCCTGGAGCAACTCCTCATACTCGTTAGGGTGGTTCTGAAGTAGCAGCTGCCCACCGCACAGGTACAGCCACGCCTTGGGTCTTACTGATGCCGGTATACCTGAAGTTTTAACGAAAAACTCAATTAGTATGTAGATGCTGATAACTATTGTCTTTCTTCGGGTTTTTACGGGTATATGGTAGTGAAATTACAGGGTTCTCTTTCTTAGCCGGTCACTCTTGTCGGTGGTCGTGATTGTACGGATGATGTACACGGTGGTAGTTCATCATTGGTCTCCTTGCCCTGGACTGCTTGTTTTGAGATACGTGCCTACATTATGGGATCAGTGGCCTAACGGAAGTATTCAATACCAGAGAGACTGTACAAAAGAAATCTGCTTGGGTAACTCTGTCCCATTCGTGTTTCTGCCGTGAAGCCGTTGGATATTACAGGAGACAGGCATAACACCATTGTCCTCAGGAATAGCAATGAAGGAAAGGTAACCTGAGCAACACAGTATACTCTGTTATGTCCATGGGACTGTTCATGTCTATAGGCGACGGTTACCACTTTCCATCAGGTGGGTCGTCAGTTTCTTTACCCTTCTAAATTGCATAAAAAACAATTCAATTACAAGGTACGGAGGCATAAAACCATAGTCCTCGGGAATGGCAACACAAGGAATACCACAGAGCATTCTGTAATGTCCGTGACCTAATCATGTCTACAGGTTACGGTTACCACTTTCCGTCAGGCGAGCCGTCGACTTGTTGCTATACAAAATATTAAGAAGTACGTAAGACCAACCTTTCCTGCACCTCTCGCGAACCTTCTTATAATTTTTGCTCATGAACGCTTCCCAATTGTCAAGCATACGCAGCCATTTCTGTTCCCGTTTCAGTATCGTGCTCGGCGACACAGTCCGCTTACTGCAACAAACAATACTTCACATTAATAACGTTGGCGAAATTATTATTACAAGCTTTTAAAATTAAAATGTTCGTTTAGATCTCATCTTGCAAATTAAATAGAATTAATTCCTCCTAACCAAATTTGCATTGCAGAGAGTCCGTGGATGCAGGTGACTCGGAACCGTTCTTTATGGTTGTCTATGGGGGAGGCCTTTGGTCAACAGTAGAAGGATAATGACCGAGATGATGATCATGAACTTAATTTGCTAAAATTTTGCATATCCTTTAGTTCTGGTGATAATATAACAGGCAATATTTAATTACTTAACTTTATTTAAAAAAAAATTCTTTTAATGTATTTCAGGACTAGCACAAAGATATTGGATTTGACATAGATATGGTAACTTATCTAAGAACTTGCATATCAAGCTCCAAACATATAATGTTCTTTTATACACAAAAACTTGAAACGAAACAAGTGCTTAAACTTATTTTTGCTATAGACTATTTTTATCTTTTAAGAGATAAATGCTTTATAAAAAGAAGTGGCAAAACACGCTAATAGTTAAAATAGGTTTGTGGGAGATTAAGTTTTTATAAGGCGGACGTGAATCAAAATTCTGTAATTTTACTGAAAACATCAAGTTATTTTCTCATGTATATAATGAAAAATACACGTATTGCATTTGAACAATGTTTTAAGGCAAGCGGGACTGTGTGGCCTTGGATATGAGGTCAGTAACTTCGTCTGAACACGTGCTATAGGTACTAAACTAATTGTGTTACAGCAATTTATATCACTTTTAGTCACAATTATGTGTTCATGGCTAAATCCTAAATGACTTAAAATTCCCCGCATGACCATTGCGTATTCTAATCTGTAAACTGCACATTATTTGCAATATAAAAATTATGGAGCGGCTACTTCAAATTAATGCAGAGTGCGTTTTTGGTTACAACGTTTCCGTTCTAGAAATTTCGACCTCGTCTCGTCGACTAGACGTCGATAAAGTGGCGGTATCACACAAACCGAAAAACCAGGCTTGCCCTATTAAAATAATGCAATCTATACTTAAATGTCTATTTGTCCGATTACGCAAATACGAGTAATGTTTAAATTTTATTGGCAAACTTCAATAAATATTTAATTTATAAGCTTTTAGCTTAGGTTTTATGCCTGTTTTCAGGGACCCTATCAACGAGGGTTGATATAACGAGGGTCTTCAAAGAGGGTTGACGACAGGCAGGCGGCCGATAGTTAAACTAATCCAAATGTTTTTGTAATATGGATAAAAAACAAATTAGGCCGACCCTAAATATTAATTGGGATAAAGGTAGGAAGAGGATGATGTTCAGGTACCCTATCGATAACAGTGAATTGAAAACTATATTGAAAACGGATTTTTCTCAGTCTAAATCATTAAATAGCACTCAATGTAACAAAACTTTACAGTTTCATAAAATTATCATATTCCGATAGGATCCACCTATCTGAAATGATAAACAAATATTACATAATGGTGCAATTTACATGGCCAAATGTTTGAAAAGCAAATAGAGTCAAAAATGCTAGGTATTTTGGGAGTCTTTGAAGCATCTTTAATGACAGATTCTTCAGATATCTCGACAATGATTATAACAAGCTCACTATCACATCTCCCATATCTAGAACTAACAAAATTTTTCATCGTGCCTCCCACCAAATTGTTTATAATTACTCCTCTCCATCCAAAAGTTGCCTGGAAGAGATCGCTCTTAGCGATAAGGTCGCCCATTGTTTTCTTATTGTGATTATTTCTTGTAATTATTTATATTTATAATAAGTTTACTATTGTAATCTTTTGGAGGAAATAATAAAGAGTATCTATCTATCTATGAAACGACTCAAATTCTAGAACAATCTTTAACTAATTTACTACTCTTCTGCGTGCATCCAGGCACATTAAGTACAACGGAGAGCAAAATCAAAACAAGTAGAACGCAAACAAACGACTTTTGTACAAAGTCTCCCTCTGGTAAGTGTCGTTAGACTGGGTAATAAATGAAAAGTAGAGCAGACTAATGGTATGACGTGAAGTAACCTTCGATTATATTTCAAGTATTTCCTATACAAAACTCATTGATATACAAATGACAAAATTAGAAAGAGTTTAACTGTGAATTATACTATTTTTACTTTTGAGTTCGCTGATAATCTTTACGTTACATATTATTTATAATTCATGCGCCATTTACACCTAATACCATAAAATATTGATCTTATTCAATCTATATTCATCATCATATGAGCCGTTGACTGTCCACTGCTGAACATAGGCCTCCCCCATAAGGAGGATTTTGGCAGTAGTTGCTTCGCTTGGCAGGCGAGTCGGCAACCGCAGCTAGACTTTGGTGATGTTTTAAAAGGGACGTTGCTGCCCATCCCTCTACCATTTAGTTTATCTATCAGTCAATCTATATTAACTGAACCTAAATCAGAAATGTTTAAACATCTCGGTAAATTATTGATGCCCATTAATTCCTCTCTTTCCATGGGAAGGAAAAATAAAACAAAATGTTATCTGAGAAATCAATACAAAGCAAATAATAATATAACATATATAAATATAAACATAAATTTTAAGAGCTTTTACCTTTTTTAGATTCTATAGCATAGAATCTAAAAAAGGTAAAAGGTCTTAAAATTTAAACAAAATATAAAGCCTAGAACGGAGAAGCTGACGGCTTATTTGATGGAAAGCGGTAAACCACCGCCAATAGATATGAACAACACCATGGAAAGTACAAAATGCACTGCGATACCCATGGAACCCATCTGTACCCCATAATTACACTTTCATTAAAAACCAAAACAAAGCCATATACAAGCATAGCCGATTAGCGGCACTTAGTAGAAATAAAGTCCCTTTTCATAATTCCATCTATAGAGCGTGCAGCACCTTTAATGAGCTTATTAAAGCACATGACAGAGTCTATCTGATATTTACTCCGCGGTCCATAACTTTGGGAACAGATTTTTTTTTATACAACTTAGAGTGGCAAACAAGCTGACGGCCCACCTGATGGAAAGTGGTAACCGTCGCCTATAGACATGAGCAGTACCATGGATATAACAGAGTATACTGTTTCGACCAAGATACCCCCCATGCGTTGCCATTCCTGAGGACTAAGATGTTATTCCTCTGTACCCTGTAAATTCACGCTATATCCCACCCTTCAAACCGAAACACAGCCATGCAAACACAACTGCTTTACGGTTGAAACACGAATAAGATAGAGGTCAAGCAAACGACTTTTGTACAAAGTTTCCCTCTGGTGAAACAGTTTGTTTGGGTGTTTGTAATAGCTTCTTTATTTAAGAAATGGGCCTGTATTTGAAGACATGAATAGATTCAGATAATATGTCGCATTTTCGGATTTTCGCTAATTATATGCGTGGATGACAGTGATAGGAGGTACCTTTTTTAATGGGTGATAATGGAATGATAATCCCGCCTGCGCTCTGTATTTGTATATCTCTTGCTTTTTTGCTGTGTCGACGTTTTCTCTAAACTAATATTATAAATAGGAAAGATTCGTTTGTAATGGATAAACTACAAAAATACTTAACAAATTTTATATACTCTTTGACCTTTAGAAAACTACAGTATTAGCGAGTAACATGGACTTTATTTTATTTAAAAAAAAATTCGAGATCCCTACAAAAAATTGTGACTGTCTGCCCGTGAAGAGAGGGTCGCTAGTATTTCAATAAAGTAAAAAAAAAAATACATATTACTCATTCGTATCTATAGTGTTTGTAAGATTATCTATGTATTCCATAGACAAATCTGTCTACATTTATAATTAAATAGCTCGTGAACATGATTAGATTTTTAATTGTATAGCATTTACGCTGCCACTACGTGTGTAACCACATGGCCAATTACTATTGTAACATGAACCACAGATAATATAGTACTACACTGGCATGAAGCAATAAATACGAATTTCACAACATAGCACTTAGATTAATCGATTATTATCACGATATCAGTAGTTATGGTTAAATGATTATTATAAGCATTTAATTTTTTTTCCAGTTATGTAGTTTGTTATGCAAATTATTTATCATTTCGATAATCCATTTTAGTTCTATTTTAAACAAACTAAGTAATTTTTAATAATTAAAATATAAAAATATTTTAATATTTAAGGATATGGAGTAAAATTTTCTATTAAAAAACATTCAAGATCCGTTTGAAATTGATGATGATCCGTTTGAATGATTTCGTGTAAAATGAAAAAATACAATAGAATTTACAATCTCTTTTTTGAAGTTGGTTTATTAACCAACTTAAAACTTAATTTTATTAAATTGAATCAAATTAAGGTCACATTATGAATAGCGGAGCTCCAAAACCTACATCGCTCGTTAGTGCAATTGCAGTAAAAACGAGACAGATAATAGTGGCGTCTTACTCACACTTGTATATAATGCATGGCCGTTATTTATTTTTCGTTAAGAAAGCGGCGCGAAGTAGAAAGCATGGAAAATAATTGTGTGATACGTTTTTGTTTTTACATCAAATTTACACCTTGACCACGTACAGTCATCCAAACTAAGATTATAAAGAAAAGAAAATAAATTTTTCTCTTTTTAACGTACTACAAAAAAGTCACCATTTTTTTTTTTAATTCTTTCACATATAGAAATCTGCATTACAGTGAGTCATGGGTCACTATATTTTTCAAAAAATTAAAAATCTACTTATCTATCTGCATGAAGCCAGGATGAATTGACAGTCTTCAAGACTATATGGTCGAAAAGCTTTATATTCATCAAGATGGTTACAGTCAATAAATGCTTCTGACTACCCCAATAGTCGTGAGCAAAGTAAGGTCACTTCTGTCTTTACTACACTCTTTTATATAATTTGTAAACGAATAAATGAAATCTCTTTATTGTTTCCTTCAAAGTACGATACAGATAATAAAGATTAGCAATATGTACACAAACAAAATGAATATTTAATTAC